TGCTGATTTTTCTTTTACTTACTTTTAATGATTTGACATTGTCTGCAAGTTATACTAAGTGTGGTTTTATGTAGAATTCACTTTTCCTTTGTTTCCTATTGCTTGTGAAGGAAATAGGAGGAGGTAGGTAGCTAAGCAGCTGCCTCAAACTCTCTAGGTTATTAAAGAATCAGTTTTAAAAGCCCAGGAAGAACTTGACAGCCTCTGGCTGTCTCCTAGAAATGCTCTGGAGGAAACTGAGTGTCAATACGAAAGGAACCTAGCACCTACTCAGAGCTCTGGGGCTGTGTTAATGAAGTTCAGTAGTGACCACGTTGGTTTATTTTCTCTGCTTACAGTCTTTTGATGGTTGTGATAGACATCTGTGGTTTTGATCTGACTTACCTCCATTTCCCCTTCTAGGAACGTCACTGAGATTTCCTTTGGGGAACTATTCTCAGTTCCAGTTGGATACATCTCACCTCTAGACCTAGCCAATTAGTATATAATTTATCTTTGAAGTTACAGTGATTGATTGAGGGTGGACATGTCATCAGCCCATCCAATGAGACTCAATCCTGGATTTATTGGAGCTATATGAAATCTCTGCTGGGGTTGGTAAGCAGAAAATGTTCCAGTCTATTCTAGTCTTCTATATATTGTACATTGTTTCTGACCACTTATAAAATGGCTTGTATTAGCAAATGGTTTAGAGTCCCTATTGCCCAAAGAAGTCCAAAGTGGAGAACATCAGATGATGTAGAACAGTGGAACCTAAAGTCATCTTGCTCACTGAAATGCGATTGATCAGAGATAAGAGCCCAGAGTAAATGTTCTTGAGGAGATGCCAAATACCATCCAATAGTCAAATTTCTTAGATATTTTGCTTTTTTTTTCTTTTCTAAAGATTTTATTTATTTATTTGACAGAGAGAGAGCACAAGTAGGCAGAGAGGCAGGCAGAGGGAGAGGGAGAAGCAGGGAGCCCGATGCAGGGCCCGATCCCAGGACCCCAGGATCATGACCCGAGCCAAAGGCAGATGCTTAATGACTGAGCCCCACCCAGGCGCCCCTCTTCTTTCAAATGGTATCCTGAGGTAGACCCAATAGCTGAAGGAAGAGCCTTATGTCCTTTTTGTTAATGGACTCAAATCTAAACTAGGGAATTTAATAAGAAAAAACATTGAAATGTGAAACTATTTTGGAAAACCAGTAATCTGTAGCTAGAAGTTTTTGGGAGAGTCTTAGAGTAAACAAGCTCTGGCTGTCTATATAAAACAACTGACCCTGAGATAAAAATGAGGCCAAAAGATCTGTTAAGAATTGGAATTCTGTCAATAAAGAGATTGGGAGAAATTCTAAGCAAAAATGTCATTGGGCTAATAGAAACTGAAGGACAACCCTCTGAAATCTAATGATGCCACTCTGGGGGAGATGAGCCCACAATTCCTTGTCTTTCCTCTAAACTCCCGAGTGGAATAGAACAGCACTTGATGCAAGTGTTAGCTACAACTAATCCTACTACTCTGGAACATCTGCTCCTTCAGGCCAAAATGTTAAAGCCTAAAAAGCAGGCGCCTGTGGCTCAGTCAGGTAAGCATCTGACTCTTAATTTCAGCTCAAGTCATGATCTCAGGGTTGGGAGATCGAGCCCCATGTAGGGCCCTGCACTGGGTGTGGAGCCTGGCTTAAGATTTTCTCTCCCCCTCTGCCCCTCCCCCCAACAAAAAAGTTGTCTAAAAAGAAAAGCAAAATGACTTAGTGTGTGAGAGAGTGGTTTCGTCTTAATATAAAGGTGACTTTACGACAAAAGATGGTAATAGGGGCGCCTGGGTGGCTCAGTTGCTTAAGTGTCTGCCTTCGGCTCGGGTCATGATCCCGGGGTCCTGGGATCAAGCCCTGCTCCGCAGGAAGCCTGCTTCTCTCTCTCCCGCTCCCCCTGCTTGTGCTCTCTCTCTGTCAAATAAATAAATCTTTAAGAAAAAAAAAAAAGATGGTAATAAAAGATGAATTTGAAAATGTGTAGTAATTATAGAAGTTTGAGAGGAAATGAACATTATTTGCTTTGGTTTACTAAAACCACTCTAAAAAATGAGAACTTACAGCAATTTTGAGTCCTTTCCTAAGTCTCAACCCGTATCTGATACTTTGGGATCACTGGTCAGAATCCAGATGGATTCTTCCTAGATTTTCATAAATCTTTTTGTACTAACATGAAAAGGTGGGTAGGTGTTAAAACAGCACACTACCATTGCCTATCCCTTAATTCAGTAGCCACAGCTTAGTCTCCTTGCTTCAGAACTACAGTTGTCAAAAAAAATTAGTCAAGGGGCGCCTGGGTGGCTCTGTCGTTAAGCGTCTGCCTTAGGCTCAGGTCATGATCCCAGGGTCCTGGGATCGAGCCCTACATCGGGCTCCCTGCTCGGCGGGAAGCCTGCTTCTCCCTCCCCCACTCCCCCTGCTTGTGTTCCCTCTCCCGCTGCGTCTGTCAAATAAATAAATCTTTAAAAAAAAAAAAAAATTAGTCAAAGCGTCTTCAGATCTTGTATCAGAATCCCCTTTAAGCCTGTTACCACATGTGGTAAGTCTCCACTGCTAAAGCAAACCACCCATTATTTTTCTACTAGTTAATAATTATGAATTATTTTCAATCTTCTATTACCATCCATTGTTGTAATATTCTTTGAACATATAGCTACAGTAACTGTTTTAGTGTCTTTGTTACTCCTGACGTCTATGTTAGTTCTGGGTCAAATTATCCTGCTTCTTTGTATGTCTGATAATTTTGGATTGAATACCACAAATTGTGATTTTTTTTTTTTTTACCTTGATGGGTGCCATATATATATATATATTTTTTTGGTGCCATATATTTTTGTATTCCTCTAAATATTCTTGAGCTCTGTTTTGGAATGCAGTCACTTGGAAATGGGTCATCTGGGGTCTTGCTTTTAAGATTCGTTAGGGAGGAGCAGAGCAGTGTTTCCTATAGGGCTAACTCGTCTCTACATCTGAGACCGATACTCTTTAGTATACTCCCCCCAGTGTCCTGGAAAGCATGAGGTTTCTGATTCTGGCTGGTGGGAACTGGTACTGTGTGCGGTGGGTGCTGTTAACTCGGGCCCTTTTGGATGATTCTTTCTCCAGCCTTGGGTTGTTCCCTCCCATGCATGTATTCAGCTGAATACTCAGAGGAACTTCGGGACCTCTCTGAAGTTCTCCCTCCGTGCAGCTCTGTCCTCTCTGGGACTTGGTCCTGGACTCCGGCAGTCATGTCTCCCTGGGCTCTGGTTCCTTAATTCGGGGAGTTCACGTTGATTTCCCCTCCTTGCAATGCAGCATGAACACTCTGAAGGCTGTAAGCTGGGGTAATAGTAGGGTTTACCTCATCTGTGTCCTCTCTCTCAGGGACCACTTTTGTTGCATGATGTCTGGTGTCTTAAAAACCACTGTTTGACATTTTGTTTTTTGGTTGTTTCTGATGAAAGTAGAGGCCCACAGTGGAAGCTAGTATACGATACAATAGACACTTGCAAAGGTACTATAGAAACACTTGAGCAAATTCATCATTCTAAACAGGCGGTTCTAACTATAAGCTTTACTAGAAATGATCACCGACCTAACTCTATAATTCACTTCTCTCAAGCTAATGTTTTAGTATACCCAACCTAAAAAATGATAAAAAGGTACGTTATACTGACTTTAATAGTGATACTCTTTGAAGACCATACACAAGTGAAGAAAAATGTCTTTGTTCTGGATGAAGATAAACATATTCTTGGCCAGTAACAGTCAATGTCATAACAACACTCAGAAATGGTAGGTTTACAATCCATTAAGGTTGATCATCTCTCCCATGCAGTAACTGGGATCTTTTTTCCTACAAAGAATTCAGGACTAAGGTCAACTCTTTTGTGGGGCTCTTGGTTAAACTATTTCAAGATTGACTCCCTGGTACCCTCAATTGACTTTATCTTAGATCTTATGAGGAGTCCAAAGGGATAGAGCCTGTGGGCGTTAGACAACTTGAGGCAGCTTTTACCAGTCTGCCAATCAGTGAGGCCTTACCTCTGAAAGCCCGACAACAGGAATGGACACACTCCAATAAACTTGCCCCTGAAAGCCAATTAACTGGCTCACCCCCATTAACTACACTTCTACAGAGGCCTCATAAGCCTCTGAAAGTCTTGAAATCCTTGACCTCCTTGCTTCCCCAACACCCTATAGAAGATCAGCAGTCTGCTCAGCTCAGGGAGGACTCTGCCTGACCAACACAGCTCTTCTTTACCAGTGAGCATTAAACTCAGCTTTGTCTTTTTATATAAGATAAAGAGTGGTGGGCTCTTCAACCTCTGAGAGTCTTATTTTTTATATTCTCTCCAGTTTCACAATTGCTCACTTGATTTAGGTCCTGATAGTATCAGTAGCTGCCATGGCTTGAGCATCAATTAAGCTAGTTATTATGGTAATCCAGACTTAATATATAATCTACCACTCAGTATCTGAAATTAAAAATCTGAATTTATTGCTTACTATAGTAAGGAAAAGCTACATTGGTCAGGCATAGTTTCCTGGAGCAGAGTAGACTGCTCTACAGAATAATTTGCTTTGTAAATGTCCAAGGAAGCTGTAAATACAATCTCTTATATAAGAATAGATATGGGGGTGCCTAGCTGGCTCAGTCGGTAGAGTGTGTGACTCTTGACCTCAGGGTGGTGAGTTCAAGCCCCACACTGGGGGTAGAACTTACTTAAAACAAACAATAAAATACAAAATAGAGATATCATCTTACTAGGTAATTTACCTAGCATAAAAGGTATACATTTGTATGACTGTGGAAGAGTTTTACCATTTTCCAGGTGATTCCAGTTCCAGGGATTATCTACTGGATGTTAGGATATTTTGTTTCAATGAAATGCCCTAGTCTATCATTTGGTTGCCATATCATCTAGTACCTTACTAAGTGCTTTTTGATAAAATGTACTTAGAAAAATAGCCAAATACCATGCAATAGCATCACCTATCATACAACAAATTAATATAAATTTATTGGGTGGAAAATGGGGAAAAGGACAAAAAAGATGGGGTGGTTCTGTACTGATATCACCAAGCTCATAAAACGATAAACTCAAGTCCAAAATCTTCAGCCCACATCAAAGACTTCATGTTCTGATGACTGTGGACAAGGCCAGCCCTGGTCACCAGGCTCAGGAAATCATGGCAGTGTAGCTCTAAAGGAAGAAGCGCCTCTGTCAAGGACATCACTTTCTCTCTAGTTCAGAATGACCCTTCTTGGGCACAAGTTTAAGATTCTGTTTATTCTCCCATCGATGTAGAGCAGACTGGCTGGATGCAACATTGTGCCAGTTACCTTGGTCCTGTTAGAGAGAAAACAGACCTAACACTGTTCAAAACTACCTGCAGAGCTGAGGACCTATTTTGTCTTTATGAATATAATCTATTCATCAAGGTGAGTGGTTCTAATCTAGACAGTTTGGGAGATGGGCAACTTTTAAGGAAGAAACTGTTTGTTTTCCTTGCAGTTTAAAGAAATCTAAAGATTAGTGGGGAGAGGAGCTGGATGAAGAAAGAACTTCTGCAATGAGAAAATGAGAAGGAACAAATCCAAAATTGCTGAAGACAGCCATGTCTAAATACCCTACCTCTTCCAGCCACCTATCTTCTCGGGGAAGCCTCTGCAACCGGTTTTTGGTCAGCTCAAGTTGGAGGCCATCAAACCTGCACTTAAACCAGCGATGAGCTTCTTCCAGGTTAGCTGTTATCTGGACATATAAGTGTTATCAGTAAAAATCACAACAAAGAAAGTTATAAGTGTTTTGTGTATGAGTTGCAGAGACTTTTTGACCCAGATGTTAAAAGACCCAAATTCTGAGTGCAAGGTCCTTGCAACATATTTGCATAACACAACTCCTACAGATGGGTGTGATTTCTGAATGCAGAGCTGAATGCATGCAAGCCTGCTGCTTTCATGCATTTATTAATATTTCCTGGATGTGAATGGAAGTGAGAGGACCCAGGAGGAAAATAAGAATGAAAAGGACAAGATGGCACTGCTAACAAATATGGTAGTTCAAACCATAGTTTGAATTTTTGAGTTCTGTTCTCTAAGACTAAATAGTTCTCCAAAGTCCCTACACTAGATCTTTCTTTTGGGCTTTACGAAAGTAATTGAATTAGTAAAAGACTGGATTAGCTTAGTGTAAATTGCATTCTCTTTATTTCCTTTATCCTCAAAATATTGTATACTTTAGCTCCTAAGCACAAACTTCTAAATTACCTTTGTTAGACTTAAACAGTCCTTCTAGTAGTCTGCCTTTGAAGATGACCTGGAATCATTTGACAAATATTTACAGAGTGCCTATATGTGCCTGGCACTTTTGTATGTATTTGGGATACTTCAGTATTTTAAGGTAAAGCTGACATGCTTTTAGGTTATATAAAGGTTGCTTCAAAACAGCTCCAAAACATATCCTCTAGAATAAAAAGTAAAATGACTGTTTTCCCCATGCGATTATTTGTTTCATGGACAGCATTTTCGTTTTTTGATTCTGAAGTCAGGTATTTCTCTTGCCTGGGAAAAGGCAAGTTCCATGAAAGCAGGGGCGTCCTCGGGCTTGGTTCATCCAGCGTCCCATCACCCAGCCCAGCGCCCACCATAGGATAGGCCCACAGTCAGTATGTGCGACTAAGTATTTGTCCCAGGTTAGCCAGGTCCTTGTGTGGGTACAAAATAGTGAGGTAAGAAAATAAAGCTCCCCTTGGCATTTAACCTTTAGAAAGCTACAAAGCTCATGCACTTTCCAGGGCTGTCTGTATATCCTAATGCCAGTGATACTCTCACACCCCCTCCCCCAAACCCAACCCCACCTTTCTCAGGCATTCTTTACCAGGGGTGGAGGGAAAGATGCTTGAAATGGCCCTGTGCATCATGTCTCCTCTTGTACGGTGAATGAGAAGGGAGGTACTACTTATTGAGACGTACTCTGGGTCATCTAACAGCATAACGGCTTAGTAAGTCTTACTCTCCCGACTTTTTGGGATGTAGTAACTGATGAGTTAATGTAAATGTAACATCCTCAAGGGCACAGAAAGTGTCACAGCTGGTGTTCAAACTCATGCGTGTCAGAGTCCATATTCCTTTTAATATACCATTCTGATAGTCCTATTGTCCTGTCATTTAATGGCTATAAAAAGGACAAATCATGACCAACCAATGACATCATCACTATGATAGCTTAAGAATCTCTTTTCTTATCTGGAAAATGACGAGTGGTTGTGTCAGACAATGATTTCAAAGATCCTTTCCAGCTCTAAAAAATGTATGATTTTAAATACCTTCAAAAAGGCCAATTTAAGATTAGAGAAAGCAAATTCCCAAATTAAAAGGGCCTATGAGGTGTGCCTGGCTGCCTCAGTCAGAAGAGCAAGCAGCTCTTAATCTCAGGGTTGTGAGTTTGAGCCCCATGTTGGGTGGAGAGATTACTTCAGAAAAATAAAACTTAAAAAAAAAAAAGAGGGCCTACTTTACATTTCTAGTTATTGACTGAACAAAGAGCTTCCATTTTTATTAGTGATGTCAAGCAGTAATGCATTAAAATTTACACACATGCTGGTCTTCCTTCTTATATTTAGGGGTAGAGACTTGGACTTAGTTTAGTCAGTATTTCAACATTCTTTTATTAGGACACAGAATCTCAATCTAAAAATTATTCTTCATAGTAGATATTAGGCTTAGTTAAGTTATTGGTTCTTGCCTGTTACACTCCTGACAACTATGTTAATGAAGGATTTTACCTTGAATGTCTAAGTCTTTATGTCCATGGCTTACCTGTTCTGATTCCACACTGGCTTCTTTCAGTTTATGCTCTGTTGCCTCTTTACATTTCTTTAGGTGTCTGATAGTTTCTTCCAATTCCTGAAAATGTGATACAAAGATTTTTACAAATTCCCAATATACCATATGGAACAGGAAGCTTCCATATTGTAATAAATGGGCAACCAAATTATGAAAGTATGATGGGGTTATACTTTCCAACTTCATGTGCTACCAAAATATAAGATAAAAACTGTTACTCTCATAGTATACATAATGCATATGATCACAGATTTTGATTTTATGTATTCTCCTGAGGAGGAAGAGATTGACATCTCTTTCCAGAACTGAAGGAATACTTTTTCACAGGAGACACCGTCTGCTAGAAGGCAAGAGCTTGATGATCCCTTGAAGTCCCTGTATTCAGTGACAGAATGTTGTGCTTTTCAGAAGGCTGGGTAGAGCTGCAAGTCCTATCACAGCAGCAGGGATAGCTGAGCTTCAGGGAAGGACCAAAGGCTATAAAGTTCCTGAAAGACTAGGAAATTCAGTTCCAAAGTCTTAGGAACCAGTATTTTGCATATGTGAGCTTCAGTTGTTAAGAATGAGTACTTTATAAATCGAAAATTGAGGACATGTGCCATATTCTCAGCTATAGGCTTCTTCCTCTTGCAGGCTTATGTTTCTTCTTTAGAATCTAGAAAATCTAGGTGCTCTGATGCTGGGTTTCAGTACATGTCACTTGCTGCTCATCTCAGAGGAGTCTGAGGAAGCCTCTCACCTGGCACCGGCTCTCCAGTTCCTGCCTTATTTTCCGCTCTGCCTCGAGTCGCAGCTCTTGCTGTTTATTCCGTGCTGACGTCTCATATTGGCTCTTGGCCAACAGCTGCATCTCCTTCTGTAGGTTAGTCATTTCGGATACGAACTTCTGGATACTCAGTGACTGGTGGGGCACAAAGAGGGAAGCAGGTGGTGAACCTGAGTCTGAGATTTTATGTGAATGGTAAACATGCAGTTTGTGAAAATCACCTACCTGTTCATAATTTTTTTTCTGATATTGATCCTTAATTAGCTCCATTTGCCTCAATTCTGTTTCTATTTGCTGAAAGTAAATGTGGAAATAACATAGAAAGATGATCAGTGGAAAAACTGGCTTGCTCTTTTTGCCTATAGGATGACAGAAAGAATCCCATATGAGACCCACAGTTAGCAGCTCCTCCTGGGTCCTCCTTCCTGTCTGGCCCACTACCCTAAAAGAGCAAAGTTGTATGCAACCACTGGGGAAGAGGCAGTTGGGGGGACCAGAAGGTGACATGGCAGCTAATGAGAAACCACACATTTACACAGCAGTATCTCTGCTGGAAAAAGAGATAGTAACCCCCCCAGGCTCCCCGGCAATCTGCCCACACCCCAGGTGTAGCTCTAATTCCCAGAGAACTCTGGAACCATCTTCACCGGACCCCGCCACCTGCCTGGATCCTCATCAGATACTAAAGAAGTGAGGGGAGACTTAGCATTTCTCATACAACCTTCATCCTCTCTACATTCTGAGTATTATTCGCCTTGGTCGACAAGTGGAGCTTAATTTGGGCCTTTTGATTCTTTATTTTCTCCTTGCTACTGTTCAGGATCTTCTCTAGCTCTGTCAGTTTCTGCCGCAGCTCTCGGTTGGTCCGGGTTACCTCCACTGATCGGAAGTTGGCTTCATCAAGGGCTTTCTTCAGCTGTGGAACACAAAGGGAAAATTTGATCATTTTAAGCTTCCAGTTTGGAAAAGAAGCTTATGATTAGGCCTGTCCCCATATTTAGTTCTCTTTGGACCTTTCTTTTAAAGAGGAGGGTAAGTGAGGCAATAATAATGATGTCTCATTAAGAATTGTGGAGCAAAATTCTAAGTGGTTTTCATCCTTTTTTTTTGTTTTAATTTTTAACACTAAACACAATCTTTCCTAGAACAGATAAACAATATATATTCATCATTTGCTTTTAAAGAGCATGACTTTGGAGTCCAACCTAAGTTCAACTCTCAGCTATAGCACTTATTAGCCAAGTATGCAAATGACCTATCTCCTAGGATTCCTAGTTAAGTAAGATAAAGTAGAGAAAGAAGGGAGAGCCTGGCACATATGCTCAGCTTTAAGCTTTTCTCTTCCTTTCTGTTGCTTGTGACTTCATGTCTGGAGAACTGAAAATTAGAAGGCTAATTTATATAAATACTTGCCCGTTACTACCATTGTATAGATTTTTATAGTACTGCTTTCAGTTTTTAAAGATTTTAATAAACTTGTCTGGCAGAAAAATGGCATAGAGATTACTCTTAAAAACAAGACGATAGCCCCAAATGGAATCCTGTATGCTAAGCCCCACGTCACCAAACTGAGACTGAATTAGTTCTGGCTTTCCCAGAAATGAACTCTTAAACGAGTCCTTCAGGAATTGCCTGATCAACACGAGTTGGGTAATCTGCCTGACCCTGCCATCCCCTACAGGAAAGAAACTCTGCAATAAGCAACTCAAGTCATTGGCTCGTATGACTTGTTCCTGCTCCCTTCTGCCTCTAAAAGCCTTCATTTTGTACAGCTCCTTGGAGCTCTCTGCTAGATTGCATAATGCCCAATTTGAATCAATTTTTGTTCAAATAAACTCTTAAAAGATAAACTGAGGCATATTAAATATTTAACAGTTCTGGTGTCAGAAGAGAAAAAGGAAGGAGAGCAATGATCCCTGGGAACAACAAGCAACCAGGTGTAGGCACCCACTGAGCTCCCTGCTTCCTTGAAGCCTCTGGAGGTCACAGTAAGTCCCTATTGGATCCTCGCTCTGCAGCTTTGTGTTAGCAGCTGTCAGACTTTGAGCCTTTGTTTTTCTGAACTAGGTCCAGAAACTGACTGGAGTTAGATTGGTTCTGACCCTAAAATCGAATTGGGTCCAGAGTTGGAGTGGGTCCAGTGTGAGGCCTCAGGTGAATAAAACTTTAAGGCTGAACAGACAGATAATTTGGAAGTACAGTGGCTACCATGGAGAACTTTTAACCTAAATAAGCTTATCCATGTATGACGTACTCTAGAGAAGCAAAGCCAAGCACTTATAATGGGTAGAAGGAAAATTATTATTTTTCATCCTCTCTTGTTTCTGGTGACTAGAATGAGACCCGCTGGAATTCCCCACTTGCTCACAGCCTACAGACAGGATCTGGAAAACTAGCAGAAGCTAGCAATGGGTGACAAGTCTTACCAAAGTCAGCTCTCTCAAATGTCTGTGGTGTCTGGTTGAGAGAGGAAGGTAAAATTTCACATCCCTTCCAAATTCAGACTGACAGGGAAAAGATAGGTGTAAGAATTAGATCTTTGAATTGTGTCTTGTGAATCTGCTTTCGGGTACCCATTGGTAGTTGATCCTTTGTCTCCGAGGGACAACTACTGCCTTCTTGTTTATCTGGTTTTGTGTCCTGAGAACTTGGCTAGGCAACCATCAGGTTAGAGGCTCTAAAATTATGGTTGGCTAGGAACCTGACTGATGCCAGCCAGGACAATTCTTTTGGTTATCTTTGGGGGTGGCTCTGGATCTTGGGTGGGGATTATCTTTTGTGTCCTCTCTGGGGACCCCTCTTGCATCCATGGGGTTGTTCAGTAATGCTAGGAATATTTACTGTTTGTCATGGCTAAAACCTGGCAAGATATCTGAAAGGATTTCAAGTAGCTCTATGGTCAGAAGATGGCCATATTCAGAGCCTGACAGACTTAAAAGTTCCTTTCTTCCCCCTGCCATGATGGCAGTATTTTTTGTCAACAGCAGTTCACCTAGTGAGTGCTGATACTTTGGGTCTGAGTGAAGCTGAGGAAAAAAGAAAAGTCCTTCTCCCCTCAGCTAAAATGAAACTATGTACCTAGAGAGAAAGAGAAACATTCTCAAGTCTCTATGGGAGCATTTACTAAAATATTCCAAAGACACACAACTCTAAATCTGCAACATAGGAATCTTTTGGATACAAAGAAGCAAATCGAAGATAATGTAGTTGGCTGGGTGGGTCAGTCTGTATATTATTAAAGGTTGTAACCCAATTCTTTGATAAATTAAAAACTGTACTTGTCTTATAAATCAAGTGTACAAGAACATAAATTCAGGCCTAGACTAATTCAAATTTTTTACCAATCCCCAAAACTCCCCTAATTCATCTAAGGCTTGCAGATATTGTAAAAGATCTGGATTTAGGGAACAAAATCCTCCTTGGTGCAACTTATATTCTTTTTCTGTGACTTTTGAAATGTAAGTATTCTACTTGGTCTTTTCCAAGAATGAAGACAATTCTTCCAGGAGGGGAAAAAAAAAAAAAGGATATTTTGAAAAGTAGGCCCATGAAAAATCTTAAAATTCTCCTTCACAAATAGGAGTTAAAAGCTTGAGCCTGAACAGGTAACCTTAATTTTATTCCATTTGCCAAAAACAGAATTTGGATCCAACTGTTCTTTTATAAACTAGTGAGTTTTGCATTATTGTACCTGTCTCAAAACTAAAGTTGTAAAATGAAACTTGTAAGATCTGTTTGTGTCTGTATGTTTGTCTTTGTATGCATGTTAGAGACTTTTTTCTTACCTTTGAAATGAATTTATCAAGAGCTCTATTTAATTGGTTTAAAGACAAGTATTTATACATATCAAGTTCACAAGATCTAGGATAATCGTCAACAAATAAAACAACAAACTTAAGCTACCTTTTTACTTAAAATATCCATGTCTTCAGAATTACCAGCATTAGCTGTAATACTTCTGTTTTACCACAATTACTAAAAGTCAGATAGGCTCATCTATCTCTGTTACAGAATTTGTCAGCAAGAAATTTGACATCATGGTAAGCTGTTTAATATCTCATGAAATTTTCATCAGTAATCTAAACATAATTGTTAAAGAGATGTAGGATAAAATTTTCCAATTTTGGGTAAAATTACCCAATTTTTTGTTAACTAGAAACCTTGAAATCACCCTAAAATAAATTAAATGGTGGATACTCATTGAATATCTAGATCATTTCCAAATAAAATGCCAAAACATTAATTACTAAACATAGGTTTATCCACTTTTGGCTTTCTTTTACAGAGAAACTAAAGATATTTGGGTTAGTAAACATTTTTTTTTGTGCTACATTAGAAAGTTTACTATGAGGAAGAATATTCTTCTAGAAAGTAAGAAATGTATTTATAAACTTGCCAACCCACAGAATTTTAGTGTAACACACTCCACAATTGCTTATTTCTTAGTTTTCACTAGGAATAAGGGTTCTAAGGGTTAAGGATTCTAGTCAATATGTGTAATTAAAATTACTTCAAAATAATAACTATGAGAAGTAGTAAGGGAAGTAAAATGACTGACTGCTCCAGAATGAGAAAGAGGAAAAGACACAGAACAAAGTTTGAATGGATAAAAGAAAGAGTTGGTTTGTGGAAAAGGAGTCTTGAGAAAGGAATTTTATGTGTGGTCAAGGTGGTTGTTTTTAAAGAATGAATTTGGTGCAAAATTAGAATTTGGTTTTCTCTTCATTAGAGGGACAGTTTTCTTGGACTATTGGTCTGTTCTTGATAAGAATCTCTGAAAGGTTTTTGTTTTTTTTTTAAATCTTTTGGGTAATCTCCCTGAAAAACAAAGATTTTTACATCCTAGCAAAATAACTTACTGTGCTTCACATTGTCTTTTATTACTTAACATTGAGAAGACTTGGGTTTTCTTAAGAGCTAAGTTTTGTTCACAACTATATAACTTTCTGTATTTGCCTTTAAAACTTCTATTGTCACTCTGTTTAAATAATATTTCATAATAATTTGTGATCATAGTCAAATGTTCAAATGTTTTGACAACTTCCCCAAATCAAATTCTAAATGGAGTCTTTTTTGATCTCAAAGTATTTGTGTCTCACCATGTAAAAGAGAAATGTTAAACTAATTAGGTTTATTTGGTATGCTAAATTACATGGGAAGCATTGTCAAATAAGTGATGATAAGCCTTATATTTGTACAATGTGTGTTATTAATATGTGTTCTAGCAATTGTAGGAAATTCCTAAAAATCTGGTATGTTCTTTTATCAGTCATAATTCCAATTATCTTAAAATGGTGTATATCACAGATATAAGCCAATATCCTTATCAATTCTATTAGAGTGAACTCTCGTCAGATCTTTAAACATGAGCATATTAAAGTCAGCTGTTGTTACACGTGGATCCTTTTGCAAAAGGGAGATTCCTGGAAAGGACCCTACTAAGTACTCTTGAGCACTGACACCCCTGCCAAATTAGAAGGTATCAAACCTTTGGTGCACATTTCACAACTGAAGAAGGCTCCATCTGACATCTGGTCCTATGTAAATATGAGGTGTGGAGGCCTCAAAATCAAACTGACTGAGAAGTAGCTGACATTGGGGTAGACTGTTTCCGCCTAAGATGTCAGATCAAGAATGTTTCTTTCCATTCTTCCTTCTCTCTCTGACCATCATTTTCCTAATTCTTATACCATGAAGGTCTTTAGGATTCTTTTGCCCACCTTTTGCCTTGTTCTGGCCTGCAAAAATGATGCCATTGCAAAGGGTGTAATCCAACCTTCAAACAACTGGTGGAAATGCCATGATGTTGGTGATCCTGTAGTTCTGCCCATCACACACTTCTCCCTGATTTCCAATGCTTCAGTTTCTCTGGACCAAACTCTCCCCCGTCTCCATTGTATCATACTCCCTAAACCCAAGGGTCAATTTCTCTGCTTCTGGTTAAAAACTCTAAGCCTGGGGAATCTTGCATCCAGGTTCTGTACAAACAAGGGACATAGGCAAAGGGAACTAGAATAAAATTGGTGTGGTCTACAGACTTAAATTTTACTGGCCTCCACTGTTGTCACCTTTCCAGTCCTGAGCCACAGACTGAAAACAGTACTTACCAGGAGGCATTCATGATTCAAAATTAGCTTCCTTTGGCAGATCCCTAGTGCCTTGGCTAGCAGTATGTGTAAATGGGGCTACAATCAGAAACCTCTCCTTAACTCTTTTTTTTTTTTTTTTAAAGATTCATTTATTCATTTGAGAGAGCGAGAATGAGAGAGAGTACATGAGAGAGGGGAGGGTCAGAGGGAGAAGCAGACTCCCCGCTGAGCAGGGAGCCCGATGCGGGACTCGATCCCGGGACTCCAGGATCATGACCTGAGCCGAAGGCAGTCGCTTAACCGACTGAGCCACCCAGGCGCCCAGAAACCTCTCCTTAACTCTTAAAGGTACTACAGAATCTGCTGATAAATAGCTGCCCAACAAAAACCCCTAGACTCTCTGCCTGAACTTGTTCTGGATAATAGGATATTATCGATTATCTTTTAGCTGAGTAAGGAGGTGTTTGTGCTGGGGACAACACCACATGCTGCACTTAGACTACACTTCTGGGGAAGCTGAGACTCAGCTACATAAGATTACTGAACAAGCTAGCTGGCTTAAGAAAGTGACTCCTTCAACAGAATCCTTCCCTTATTAGACTCTGATTGATTTGGGTCTTGGGGACCATGGCTCCAAAGGACACTCTAGACATTGGGAATTATCCTGCTTATAATAATCATAGCAGTCTCCCTAGTGTGCTGTATTCTCTCAAAACCTTGAAATGCATGTTCATTGTTGCTAACCACCAAGTAATCTGCCTGATAAAACCCCTGCCATCCCCTAAAGGAAAGTACTTTTCTATAACCAACCTGCTTTTTTGCCTAATATATCTTGTTCCTGGCTCCTGGCTGCCTCTGAAAGCCTTTCATCTTGTACCACTCCTTGAAGCTCCTTTTTAACGCTAGATTGGATACTGCCTGATTTGAACTGAGTTTTGCTCAAATAAACTCTTAAAATGTTTAATATGCCTCAGTTTATCTTTTAACATGACTTAAATCGATTTACAGAGCTCCTTTCCTCCTCCAGTACCCTTACATCAGTGCCGCTTGGTTTTTAGGAAGAGGTGGCAGCACACAAGGGAGAAGAATGCAGTACTTGGGACGGCTGGTAGTGTGTGACATGCTGTTATTTGTACATCTTCTTTCTACACTGGCTCACTCCTTCAGATCCTAACTCCATTCCACAGTGCTGGCCTTTTTATTTATATTCTACCATTACCTCAATCACAGCTTTGTCAAAACTGGGTAAGCCCTAACAATGATCACTTACTTTGTACTTACTATGTTCGGGCACTGTGATAATTACATATATTTTCCAACTTAAAAAAAATAAAAACAAAAACAAAAACCCTGGAAAGTAGTTATGATGATTTATGATGATTTCCATTTTATGACTGAGGAAATAGAGACTCTGAAATTATCTGCAGTTAATTAACACCCCGTTAATAAGAGGCAGAGCCGGGACTCTTGAGTGGTGCACCCTGAGCCCACCCTGCTGCTAACCACCAACATCAACTCTCACTCTTCCCTTGGTCTCCCCACAAGTTCACAATCTTCAGTGATCCTTGTTAAAAGGATTTAAATTTTATAAGTATTCTGACAACTATCTCTGATTAAAGGTGCCTTTAATTTCAGTGTACCTTTGTTTCCCTTTATAAAGTTTTAATGTTTAAATAGTGTTTTGTAATTTACAAATTTTCTAAATGGTCTCTGTAAATTGCAGTCGCTAAATACATCAAATTTGGCAAAATATAGACCTACAGACCAGCCACTCCAAGCAAGTCTTGGAGTTATTTTAATTCCTCCCTCCCCTTTGTTCATGATACAACATTCAGTGTCTGTTTGATGATTTTTCTATTAAAATACTTTTTTGATTTAATTGTTCTCTATTTTCAACTTAACTATGTTGGTTGGCCCTAATCTTCGAAAGCCCAAAATAACTGTCCTAGTTCTCTCTTTTTTTTTTTTAAAGATTTATTTATTTGACAGAGAGAGATAGCGAGAGAAGGAACACAAGCAGGGGGAGTGGGAGAGGGAGAAGCAGGCTTCCCGCAGCGCAGGGAGCCCGATGTGGGGCTCGATCCCAGGACCCTGGGACCATGACCTGAGCCGAAGGCAGATGCTTAACGACTGAGCCACCCAGGCGCCCCAACTGTCCTAGTTTTCTTGGGTCTACATGCCTCCCATTTCTCTTCATGCTTGCCTACTCCCCACTACCACCAGACTCCCCTTCCTAAAATGGTGGTTACATCACACCACCCATTTCTTAGAAAGCCACAGAACTCCACTTTGACCTGAAAGTTCACCTCTAACCTTCTGACAGTCAAGGTCAGCTACCAGCTGGTACCATCTCAGCTACCAACTCTTTCTCAGACACTTCCCAAAATCTCTGCTCTGATCGGGAGAAAGAAATCCTATTCATTTGCTCACACGTCCTGTTCATTTTTGTAACTAAGCTTTGGTCATCCCCTTACACTGGGTGTCCTGGCCCTGTCAGCTCTGCCCGGCTCAATAGTGTACTTTCGTTTCCCTTCTTCTATCACCCAACCCTTACTCTGAGTTCCTTCAGAATTGTACATAGCCTCTAGTTACTCAACAAAGGTCCTCTGCTGTTTACCCTATTTGTCTCATGTAAAGAGTGGAGATCACAATTAAGTAAGGGTCACGTAGCACACATCAGAGCACGGACATACGTGCCTCTCAAGAGAAGGTAAACGAGTAATAGGTGCTAGTGAAGCAAATTGAAGGGACAGACGATTTGATGCCTACCCAATGGGCAGCCAGCCACTTCCTTCCTCTATCCCTCAGTTATCACTGGCCAATGGGAAAGCTCTCCTCGAGACACTCCTTGGCTGGGCAGAGAACTGTCTATCAGGAGCTTTTTGTGTTTTGATTTATGAAGAGCACAGAGATGGCTTGATCACATTGGGCTTATTGATCACAGAGGGACTAGAAGGACCAAAGAACAACTGCAGCCATGCTTGGAAATCCTGTAACTGGTTCTGCTCTTAAAAGGCACTCATCTAGAGAGACACTTCTTGTCACTTGACTCCATACCTCAGTCATTTCCCGTTGTGCTGCTTTCTTGGCCGTTTCTCTCTCAGTTTGAAACTGCTTTCTTAGAGCTTCTATGCGTTCAGCATGCATTTCCGCTTCCATTTTAGACTCCTCAGTCATTCGTTCTCTGTTTCGGGGGGAAAAAAAGAAGTCACCCTTAGAAATCATCTTTAGGAGGTAAGGAAGGCCTGGAGAGGAACATGCAACTGTCCAAAAGGTGTGATTTACAAACAAGAAGCAGATCAGGCACCAGGTGAACTTCGCTGGTCTGGAGCCCATTAACAGAAGGAGGGGAAAAAAGCATGTACCTGTAGCATTAAAAGCCAAAAAGTCATTCACAATATAAAGATATCCAACTCAAAGAGTCAAACATACTCTTGTTTTAACCAATAAACAAGCCAGCAACAGTTTCTGGCTCATTTCTTGAGCTAGCAACATTTCACTACATTACAGAATTTGCACAGATCATAAATTGGAAAACATGCCTTTTAGTTTTATGCCTTTCACGTATCAGTATGTTCACTAGCCGAAAGGCATAAAGATCTATGTGCACACTGCATTTCCCTTGGTTAAAAATTTTCATGAAATTTTATATCCAAATCCTATTTACCTAGATGCAGTTTACAAAAAAATGAGGGGCTTGACCTGAACTTGATGGGTTTGACCTAACTAATTTTAGGCCCCAAGGGAAAACAATGGTTTAGGATCTGCCTGGGTGGAGTCATTCCACTCCTAGAATGGGTTATTCCCACCCAGGCTGTTGCTCTTCCTTTCCCAAATCATGCTTCTTAAGGACACATCAGCTTTTGATAGGAAAGCGTTGGCAGAAACATGCAATATTCTTTAAGTTTTGGTTTAACCTTCAGGTGGAGCAGCAGCTTGACACTAGATGAGGGAAGAGCTGAAAAGGAGATCCGAATGAACATACCCCAGCTAGCTAGTGTCTGCTGCTGATCAGGTATGTCTGGTTCCTTAACATGGCTCTGCTGGGAGTACCAGTTCCAAGCTGAAGACTGGCGCAAACTGGTTTATGTGATTGGGCTGAACTTTCTCTCCCAGAGGCTCTTCCCTAATTTCACTGTGACTATCCTGCCCTTACTTGAAGCTTTCCAAATTTTGTCGCTCAAGTTCATTGTTTTCCAATTTCTCTTGAACATGATCGAGCTTTGTTTGTAGATGATTATTTGTCTGGAGAGATTGTTCCAGGCTCAAAGCCAGTTTCCTGTTGTCTTCTCTAGCTACATCGAGAGCTTTCTGTAGAGGCTCCATCTGAAAGAGAGAAGGCTCTTTTTAATTCCACTATCACAGATGCAAGAAGTCTGTAACACTATATATTCACTCCTTACACTTTACCATCAAGTGCCATTGAAACAATAATTAGATGGAACCAGAACCAAAGACTGCAGCTGCCTGGGGTATATATGTGAGAACTTACTACAGACATTGCTTAGGAGACGCTCAGAAGGCAATGGGAAAAGTATGCTCCACTGATAACCAGTGAGCTTTGAAAAAGTGAGCCAACTTTATTTTTATTTTTAAAATTTTAAACTAGTTAAATTCCCCTTTCTGATCCTATAACCTTCAGGGGTCACTGCCTAGATAGATAAGAATAGGCACTTGTTCCTTGTATGTCCTTTCAGAAAAAGCTTATTTATATGAAATACCCCTGGCTTTTTAATATATGTGCATATATGTAGAGATATATTCATAAGTGCATACACCCGTGAGCACACACATGTAAATATGTCTCCTTATTCATAGTGGGATCACTCCAACAACTTCTGACTGAAGTTACAAATTACTCTCTGAGACTTTAACTTCTGCAGTTATTTACACATTAATAAATAAAAAGAAGTAAACCATATAAGAAAGAGAAAATTAGGCATAACTGTGGTCCTGGTTTGCCAATAAATGGCTCCCCGGAAGGCTCCAGCAGGCCCACTTCCCATTTGTAACCGAAACTCAGACTTGGTGAACAAAGAAATTTCCCTGATTATTTTACTCCATTTTCCTAAAAGAGCAATATCCCCCCAAAATAAAAAATATCAACATTATCATCTATAAAAAAAAAGTGGCCTTTACCTCACTGTTGTGCTGGGCATCTACAACCAGCATCCTGGCCTGCCACTGGTCCACTTCTGCCTCCAGCTTCTGCACCCTCTGTTGATTTAGAGCCCTAAAAATGGAAAGCGCAGGAAGAATGATTGCAGAAAAGAACCATCTAGGAATGATACCACTGGGAGTTACAGGGCACTCTTCTTCCAAGAAGCTCAAATAGCATATGTAGTAGAGATGCTCAAAGTATCTAAGACTTGGCAAGTGACAATTAGTAGCTTCAGCTTCAGGTTAAGAAATTAAGGCTCCCAGAGATTAAAAATTTGTCCCAGCTAAGATTCAATTTGGCTTAATACATTAAGCTGTCAATACTTGTTAATGACTAACTTATGAGCTGGTAATTTTATACATATATACAAATCACTAGTACAAAAATATATCCCCTCTAGATGGACGGGCCTGTTGTTGACATTTTGCTTCTAAATACAACTACCTAGAATTTTATTGTGAATGGCAAGCAATTTTCAATACATCCCCTTAACTTTTTAAGTTCAGGGGTAACATATATTTATAATATGTAAAAAATAAAGATAAGTACAATGGAGAATATAAAACGGGCATCTGTTCCCCCATAACACAGAGGGTATATGCACCATTAATATACACATTACAGTATATTTCAGAGAAATTATTAAATTCAAACCATTTGTTTATTAACCTCAAGGGGAAACTTTTATGCAACTTGAAACATTCAAAGAAGGAGTTTACTCATAAAACATGGCTAGAAGTAGTTCTCAATTATTCCTCTAAAATAATTATTAATCTTTAAATAGGACACTAATAGGGGAGCCTGGGTGGCTCAGTCGTTAAGCGTCTGCCTTCGGCTCAGGTCGTGGTCCCAGGGTCCTGGGATCGAGCCCCGCATCGGGCTCCCTGCTCCGCGGGAAGCCCACTTCTCCCTCTCCCACTCCCCCTGCTTGCGTTTCCTCTCTCACTGTCTCTCTCTCCCTGTCAAATAAATAAATAAAATCTTTAAAAATAAATAAATAAATAGGACACTAATATATAGATAATTCAAACTCAAGTAGGCACTTAGCTTTAGTTACCTAGACTAGACAACTATTATTCTGTAGACCCAAGAGCAGGTTTAAATGGTGTAGAAACAGGACAGGTAAAGCAGCAATCACACACGAACTTCTAGAATACAACTCCTTTACATCACTACAAAATATGGGAATTTTCAATCTTTGAAAATCATGTTCATTGCTAATTCCAGATTCTCCCTAATTTTCTAGGTCTTTATGTTTTATAATATTGCGTTTCATTGAACAGGTCTACATTTCACCATTTCTGAAATGTAAAGCTAAAATAGAGGACTTTACGAGTGTAGCATAGCAAAGGGGGTGAATGGTCATATTCATACATTTAGTGAGTAGTAAAATAGGGAGAGGGAAATATGTCAAACTTTGGGTTGGAATTGGAAGAAAAACCTGTTCAGGACTGAAGGGAGGTCCTTGGTTCCAAACAAAAATCTCCCCTTGACTAAAGACTATCCAAATAAGCATGTTGGTTTACAAAGAACACTGTGTTGCACAAAACCCCACTGGGCAGGAGGAATTGGCCAGGATACAAGGGTGCGGCTGAGGGGGCAGCCAGCGTGCATCAGGCACGGCCCGGCAGGAGGTGGGGGACCCCGGGTGGAGGCTGTGGCTCCAGGCCGGGGCCTGTAGGTAAGAGCAGCTTGGGAAGTCGAGAGGCCGAGGTTAGTGCATTCACCAAAAGATCTTGCTTTCCGGTCAAGTTCCTAGGATGCTTTTCTCAAACAGGGCCTAGTTCTTTAGTTTAGTGTGACTGTTCCTTGACTGCACGCTGCTCCTTACTATAATGCAGCAGACAGCTACACGCACAAAGACAGAAAAATAATCTCCAGTACCTTTCTTTCTTGAGGCCTGCAATCTCTGAATCCCTCCGCCCAAGCTCTATTTGTACTTTTTCCAGAGCACCTTGCATCTTACTGTGAGAAGCCAGCACATTCTCCAACATAATTGTAACCTTGCAGTTGTCTTCTTTAGCCTCTGCCAGTTGTCGCTGAAAGTTTCCCACCTAAGAGAAAATGAAACAAGACAAAGATATTTGATCCTTTCTGGTTATTCTGCTGTTGCTGAGTCCCATTACTTCTAGGCAAGAGTATGGAAAGCAAGCATGGGTAGAATGCTGAGAGGAACAACGGAAGCATGTTTATCTTGTTAAGATCTGAAGCTATTGTGACTTAGAGAAAAAGGAACACTAGACCCCACATCCCGTGGGGAACTGCAGTGCTTCCCCACAGTGGCCTCCCGCACAGCGTGCGTATTAACCAGAGGCAACGGCATCAACAACTTCCCGGTTCTCCATGTGCGTGTCCCAGGCTGGTCTGCTCGGTGAGCTCATGATGGGGCCAGAAGAGAACACATCTGAGAGCCATCAGAATTAGTGACGTCTTAATAACACTTAAGTAGACAGTTTTTTGTTACCAAGGTCCGATGTGTTTCAACAGAAAAAAATTAGGACATTTTCTTTTAAGATTGGGAGTTAAGTGATGTGTTTTTAAGGCAAATACTTTGCAGCTCTTCTAAAGTTATCTTTAGGAAAAATAATCCTCCTCTGATCAATCCTCATTCTTACTCAAGGGAACAAGAAATGAAGGAATAGGACTTGTAAAAGATTTCTTAAGCACCTCGTGTCAGTAACAAACTCTCACAAAGGACTGATGCCTTGCCTTCTTGTTCTCTCTGTCCTCCAAGGCCTCGAGGTCCCCTTTCAACCTCTGGCTCTCTTTCAGGGCTGCGTCCCGACACTTCATGGCTTGTGAGAGCTCCTCTTCATTCTTTTCAAGAATGGATTTCACCTTAGTAGAGAACAAAGCACTGTAAATCAGCAATTAGAATAAGACACAGCAATTTGGAAACCAAACTTAAAATGTTTACTATGCTTATCCACTATAATAAATCCACCAGCTTTATTAGCTATTTTTCCCTTTAAAGAAAACTACAAAGCAAAATAAAAAAAAAAACAAAACTGTGTGAGTAAACATGAGCAAACCTAATAGATGTCAATCTCCAGGAAAGTACAGGCTAAGTGATAAGGGAGATAAGACTATGAAGGTCAGATGTAATGGGGGGGAAACAGATTATCATGGAATTTGAGAGTATAACAAATGCAGACTATAACAAAAACAAAGACAAATAAATACTAAGTAGTGTCAAGAAAATAGTGTTAGAGTGCATCCTAATTAGAAGTATTAGTATTTTATATCCCTGAAATACTTTTAGTATATCTACACAATCATTTCAAATGATCACACTATTTTAAATATTATTTTTTTAAAAAGTGTTGAAATAACTAGATTCATAGGATGTTGCCAAAGTAGCACAGAGTCTTATGTATTCTTCACCCTGCTTCTAATGGTGACATCTTACACTACTGTAGTTCAACATCAAAATTGGGAAACGGACTTTGGTACATTATTGTTAACTAGCAGATTAAATGGACTACAGAACTTACTCCATTTTCCCCATTTTTTTAAACCTGCATTCATCTGTGTGTGTGCATGCACAGAGCTCTATGTAATCTGATCCCATGCACGTTATTCACATGAACACCATCGCAATCAAGATACAGAACTGCCCCATCCCGCCACAAAAGAATCCACATGTGCTACTTCTTTGTACACACACTCTCCCAAACCCATCCCCTGCCCCGGGGCAAGTAATAATTTGTTCTAGACCTCCGTAGTTTTGTCATTTCAAGAATGTTGAACATTTTAATGTAATTAACTTTTGTATAGGTAATACGTTCACATTATCCTTTTTTAAACAGCATGACTGAGGTATGAATGACCTACAATAAGCTGTGTATATTTCAAGCATACAGTTCTGACATCTGTATAAACTCCTGAAACCATAATCAAGATAATAAGCATTTCTATCATCTCAAAAGTTCTCTCATGCCTCTTTGTAATCTCTCCCTTCTGTCTCTCCTTGTTCCCCCACCTCCACACAAGGCAACTAGTCTGTTTTCTGTCATGATAGTTTTTATTTTCTAGAATTTTTTATAGATAGAATTATATTGTATGTACTCTTTTTTGAATGGCTTTCACTCAGCATAATTATTTTGAGATTCATTCCATCTTTTTCATGTATCAATAGTTCGATCCTTTCTGTTGCTGAACAGTATTCTATTGTAGGACATACCACAATTTACTCATCCATTCACCTTCTGGACACTTGCGTTGCTTCCAGCTTTAAGCTATTACAAATAAAGCTGCTGTGAATAGTTGTATACAAGACTTTGTATAGATTTATGCTTTATCTTTGGTAGCTATGTAGGAGAGGAATGGCTGGGTTATACAGTAGTGTTTCGTTTTTAAAGAAACTACCAAACTATTTTTCAAAGTGGTTGTACCATTTGACATTCCCTTCAGCAGTGTGTGTGAGTCCCAGTTGCTCTGCATCTTCACTAACATTTGGTATGATCAGTTTTTCAGTTTTATACATTCTAATAGGTGTGTGGTACTATCTCACTGTGGTTTTAATTTGCATTTCCCTAATGACTGATGTTTAACATCTTTTCAAGTACTTAGTTATTATCCATATATCTTTTTTTCATTGAGTTGTTTTCTTCTTAATAAGTTTTGATAGTTTAATACATTCTGGAGACAAGGCCTTTTATAAGATATGTGATTTGCAACTATTTTCTCCCGGTCTACAGCTTATATCTCATTCTATTAATATTCCTGAAGAGCATAAGCTGTCGTATCTTTTTTTTCCCTTTATGGATCATGCTTTTGATGTCAAATCTAAGATATCTCTGAGTAATCCAAGATCACAAAGATTTCCTCCTATGTTTTCTTCTAGAAGTTTTACAGTTTTAGGTTTTACATTTAGGACTGATCCATTTTGAGTTCATCGATTTTTTTTTTAAAGATTTTATTTATTTGAGAGAGGGAGTGAGCACACAAGGAGGAACAGAGGGAAAGGGGCAAGCAGCGCTCAATCTCACGACCCTGAGATCATGACCTGAGCCAAAATCAAGAGTCCAGCGCTTAACTGAATGAGCTACCCAGGTGCCCCTGAGTTAATTTTTACATATGGTGTGAGGTATGAATCATAGGCTTTTTGTTTTTACATATGGATATCCAACTGCTCCAGCACCATTTGTTGAAAAGACCATTCTTTCTCTACCTTCACTTTTGTTGAAAATGAAATGTTCATAAAATTACTTTGAATAGGTGTCACATTATTAAGATACAAAAGGGTAAAGTGAAAAATTTCCCTGCCATCCAGTTTTCTTCCTCAAAAATAATGTTGCCAATTTATGAGGCATTGTGGAGCTATTCTATGCATTACGAGTGAATATATATATATATATACACACACACACTCACATATGTATATATTTTTTATCCTCCTACCCCTTTTACTACACAAATAGTAAAATACTATGTATACTCTTCTGAACCTTGACTGTTTTAATATAATACATATATACTATATACATATATAGTATATACATACATATGTTCAAACAGTATTCCAAACCATGAATACACCATGATTTATTTAGCTAGTCTCTTACTGATGAAATTTTGGTTGCTTCCAGTCTTTTGCTATTAACAAACAGTACTTCAATAAATAATCTTGGAAGCATGTCATATGTATAAGCTGGTATATCTGTAGGAGAAAGTCCTAGAAGTATAACTGTGAGGTGAAATGATAGATACTAAATTGTCCTCCACAAGAAGTTGTAACATTTTACACTTCCAACAGCAACAAAAAACAGTATCTTTTCTCTACATCTTCTTCAACATTATTACACTCCCTTAAAACTTTTCACCTATAACATTTGAAATACTTTTTAAGGTTCCAAAAATATTACAAAGGATGTCAATTCACAGACTCTGAAAACCTACTTGATTTTGTTCTAGAAAGGGACTCAAGGAAGAATACAGTTTTTATAATTTTACCAATTTTTTAAGATACATATGAAAAGGCCACTAGCAGAAATGTTTACAGAAAAGATCTAAATAGTAGTCAACTCTAGAATACAAACTATATAGTAATTTCTATTTTTAAATATCAAGCAAAGATGGATACTCTAAAAAGTTTTCTTTGGAAAATATTTTCCAATGTTCAAGTTCTTGGGGCTTTTATTAATGTATTTCTATTTTAAAAGCAGGCTTTATCTAAACATTTTACCATGAATATTAAGATTAGATAGTTATTTTGAATTTAAAAAAAATCAAAATCAGATTTAAAAAATCTCAATGGCTATTGTTAATCCAAATCTTTCTAAAAATTAGTTATGTGCTAGCCAAAATGATGGTTTCAATCTACATTGTCAGTTTTTCTTATTTGTGAAGAACCTAACTTCCTTGTTGTTACTCATACCTCCAAACATTATCTTTCTGGATTGTTACTACTTTTCTTCATTGTTGTATAAATCTGAAATTTCCTTATGACTTAATTTGTGGTCTTCACTTACCGAATCCCGTTTAAGAAAATTTGGTGATTCATTAATTAATGGTCTTGAAGCAAGAATGTCTATTTTACCTTCCAGTCTTCCCTCCATGGTTTTAATAGCATTCAAAAGAGTCTTTAGAGAGATTCTAGAGTCTCCAATCTCCTGAGAAGCTCTCATAGTAGTCAGAGTAGGTGCAAAGGTCACACGGCGTGCAGAGTTGGGAATAACACTGGGCAAACCAACTGACGAAGTTCTTTCCCTTACGTTGTTTACATGGGGCCTATAGCTTTCAAACAATTTCGAAGACGCAGGCCTCTCCGGAGATTTCCTTCTTCTTGGAGGCATCACCAATTAAAAACAGTAAAATGACTAAGCCTAGAGTTATTTTTCAATGAGTGCTCCTTTTATGAGGAGGAACAACACAGTACTCTAAATGAAGCTCTGATGGAAAGTATCTTGAAAATGTGTTCCTTTGCTTTCAGAATGAAGAAATCACACTGTAAAGTTGTCCTAGTGAAGAAACAGACCTTCCTTAAATCGAATTCCCTGTAGGAGAGTGTATCTAATGAGGCCCCCTTTTCCAGTATAGTCAGATGGTTAGAACCCTAACAGTATTCTCTTTGAAGACACATTCTACCTCCTTGGTTACCAGTGGTATACAAACAAAAATATTATAGATACAGAAGTTAGACATACTGAGTATTTAAGATTTTTTTTTTTTTAATTTCATACATGGTAAATCTAAATCGTTGAAATGAATCACTTTCTCTTGGTAACACATTCCTGGATTATTTTTCTTTTTTCTTTTCAGGGACAAAGGACTTTATTTTCATGGCACAACAAACAGCATGGGCATCAGCATATTTTCATTCACTCCCTGAGTCCTAAGGGCAATACGAGGGCCAGATAGCACTAGCACACGCAATGAGTAGCATTAGAAAAGAGGAACCCTGAGTTTATGGAACTTGAATCTTCTATAATGGACAATAAGCATGCCTGCCCTTTGGTCAGGAGAGAGATGATGCCATCTCTGTCCCACAAGGCTATTTGCTATATATTCATTCTTGAAAAGAGTCTGAAACAAGAGGCAGTAAGTGTCACATGTAGAAGAACAAAGAATCATGGCAAGTTTTTTCTCAACAAAAAATAATTTTTACAGTTGGCCAAATTTGTAAGTCTGGAAACTACTGAATTAGATGTAATTCCGGAGAATAAGGAGAAAAGAAAAAGCAAGCAAGCAAACAAACAAACAAAAAAGAGGACAGTTATTTTGTGGGAGTGTGTGGAGGTGACAAAAATTCTTCCTGAGGTTCTATATCTGACTCCTAAGTAATTAACCAGCTCTTAAAGTTAGCTTTATATTGTGTCCTATTAATAGGAATAATGGCTTTAATTATTTTTCAACCATTAATTTATTGCCATAATGATTCTGAAGTGTAGCCTATAATAGTGTAAATGTTTTGGGTTATGTCATCTCTGTTGAGTAAGTGGCTTTGTACTACTGAATTTTGAATTCAAATTGATAATATTAGCATTTTTTGAAAAGGTATGATAATTTTACATTTTTGTGAAGTGTTCATTGAAATTTTCAAAACAATTTCAGAAATTTCTGTGAAAGAGGGAATGTGAATCTTGGGGAGAAAAAATAGGACCATTTACTACAAGCAGCTTACATGAAGTCGTCTTCTATGTAACTACTCTGATTATTTTTCTTCACTAAATGTTTTGTTACATTGTTTGTCTTTCTCCATTCATGTGTTAAAATTTTATATGAACTACAAAAGGTTTTCAGCCTCAGCAGCCACCACAGTGACAAGTAAGCACTTATACTAATGCCTCTTTCATGTGAGCTGTCTGGTGCAGGTGTATCTTGTTGGCACTGAGTTCTGAATTTGCCAATAATTATAAAACCGCTTCCTCTATGAAAGTGTTTCTCGATGCTTTCATTAAAATGATGCTCCCTATGAATGCTCACTCATAACATTATTTTGCTTCTGAAAGACAGAACTTTTAATTCTATAATAAAGTTTATGAGTACATTCCTAAGCCTCCAATTAGAGCATAAATAAGTTGGAATGTCCCAGTCCTACTTCAGGCATCTTTTTTTCTCACAGTTCAGCAAAACCTTGTACATTGGGGGTGTTTAAAAAATATTTGTGAATTGAGTCAAATGAGAGAATATTCATCTTTCTGGGACTATATGGTAAGGTGGGGAGAAAGGCATCAATTTCTTAAAACCTAATTAAAACAATATAACAGCAATCTGTTTTGTAGCTATTAATCACACCTGAGCATATTTGCTCTCTAGAGCCTTGTTCAACTTGCGTAGATGGTCATTCTGTGAACTGGTTTCAGTAAAAGAATGTAGTTGTTCTTCTAGCTGTTTAACTTTTATCTAGGGTAAAACAGAAGAATAATAAAATGAGGCTTATTAATTTTATGTGTATATATATTATTAATACATATACTCTAAAAGGATATATTATATATATACACACATACACATATACATACATATATACATGCACATACTCTAAAAGGATATATATGTTATACATATATACACACACACACACAACTCTAAAAAGAAAAATAAGATGTCATGAGTTTGGAAAAATCACAGAGAATCCTTAAAAGTTATAAAAGCAATCCCAAGTTTTTCTAATCATGTAAAGAACGCTATTTCAACTAACATAGCTATTTCAATAGCTTAAAGTAGGCTATAGCCATTTACATGTACGGAGATAACTAATTTGGTTTCTATTGCTTATGGAAACTCCAAATTAACATAACTCATGAATATAAAAGTGAGACTTTGTGGGTAATAATTTCAATTAAAAATTATGATATCTAACATTCAAAAAACATTTTGAATATGGATAATTAGAATTGTCAATATGCAAGATGACAGTCTTATTGACAGAATTATAAAAGTTGAATAAATGAAGTTCTTATACAATGAATTATACTTTAACACTAACTGAGAAAGATGACATATCTTTCTCTTTAAAGAAAATGATCATTTGGGGGAATGAAATCATTAATATTTATTCACTAACCTCCAAATTGTGTTTTTCCACATTTTCTTCCTATCCTACCCACCCTTTCATACAAACCAACAATTAACATTACTGAGCTTATCCCTGAATCAGAAAAAATTTCATCCAAAATTTTTTTATTTAAATCAACTTTTCCCCCTCTGTGTGTCTTGTTTCCTACCTGTAGAGGGTAAACACTTCTTGCCTATAGTTACTGGACACTTTCAGGAACTGTTAAAAATGTGATTGCTAATATTGGGTTTTTTTCAAAGACTGCATAAAAACACATTCTGTCTCAGGATCTCTCTCCTGTTCCACTAAGCTGGATCCTTCTTTTATCTTTGCTTAACTCAACCTCTAGGTACACAGTAAAATGCCCTGAAACTTTTCAGATGGCATGTTCTCATTTATAAGCACTTTAATTTTTGTATTGTCTTATTTGGCATGATTTTTAATTCAGGACATTCATAGGGGAAAGAACACAGAAGCAAATACATTGTGCTGCCCCACAGAGATCTGGGTGGGTGGGGGGGGGGATTAAAATCCAAGCAGCTTCCAACACTAGCTTATCAGCCAGTCTCAGGAACAGCAGTAATTTAGGTCAAGGTCTTTTGTTTATCATTCTTAATCCTTTTTAATAATTTTACTAAATTATTAATTTATTATAATTATTAATATTATTAATAAATGTATCCCTAAATAGTATATAGTATTATTTTATGAGACTGATCCATGTTAACACATGTCTCTATTATAGAGACTGCTTTCAAAACTGGTATAACTACTTTCAGGAGTAATTTAATAAACTCTAGTAAAATTCAACATCTATAATCCTACAATCCAGGAATTCTCCTCTCAAGATTTATACTTAGCTTAGAGAATTTTTTTATATATGAGTACAAGGAGACATGTACAATAATTCATCACATCGGTGTTGTTTGTAAGCAATTGGAAACTGCCTAAATGTCCATCAACAGAAGAAAGGATAAATCTATTTTGGCATATTTATAAAATGGAATAGTACATTACATTGAAAATAAAATTCAGATCATGTTTGAATCTGGGGCAGCAGTTTCTGACACAGTCTATATTAGCAGCTAAAACCCACTCTTTATACCAATCATTAAGTCAATTCTAAAATGTAATCTTTTATCAAATGATTCATAGGTAATATTTTAATCAATTATTCAATGTAGAGAGAACACAGAAGATTATTTTGATCATGTTTAGTATGCAGCTCTTACTTTAAATTATCTTGCAAGACTTGTATAGTATAAGAGCATTTTCCCTTGGGTTGATGAAGTCAGTCCCTTTAGAATGTGCCAACCCAAGGTATGACATAAAAACACCATGAGTCAATAGTTTCAAGTGTTTCATCTTTCAAAGACTATCAAAAACATTAAGCCCTTGTTGTAGGAATATGAGCAGAAAAAAGTTGTATTTTCCTTAAGATTCTGAGGATAACCTCTAAAGTATGTAATTGAGGTATAAAAGGTTAAATAGTAATCTATACACCCAGCCTGTAATGTTGACTAGCTTTCCTAATGAAAAGGAGATGAGAGGTATGCTTTCCCCTCCTCATTTTATAGGTGAAAGAGATGAAACTCAAACACAATAAAAAAACGATTAACAAAATGCCAGTAAGTACCTATCAAGAATTGCTTTAAATGTAAAAGGACTAAGTGCTCCAATCAAACAACATAGGATGCAACCCAAGCACTTTTAAGAGGGAAGCGTACAGCAAGGCAAAAGAAAAATCTCACATAAACAACCTAACCTTACACCTAGAGGAGGTAGAAAAAGAAAAAGCCCAAAGTTAGCAGAAGGAAGGAAATAATAAAGACTAGAGCAGAAATAAACAAAAGAGAGACTGAAAAAATAGAAAAGATCAATGAAACCAAAAGCTGGTTCTTTGAAAAGATAAAACTGATAAACCTTTAGCCAAACTCATCAAGGAAAAGAGGACTCAAGTAAATAAAATCAGAAATGAAGGAGAAATAAACACCATATCACAGAAATACAAAGGATTATAAGAGAATATGAAAAATTATATGCCAACAAACTGGACAACCAGAAAACATGGATAAATTCCTAGAAACATACAATCTCCCCAGACTGAATCAGGGATAGAAAATTTGAACAGACTGATTACTAGTAATGAAATTGAATCAGCAATAAAAAAAATCCTAATAAACAAAAGTCAAGGATCAGATGACTTCACAGGTGACTTCTACCAAACATTTAAAGTAACAGGTTCTAGGGAACCTGGGTGGCTCAGTCAGTTGAGCATCTGCTTTCAGCTCAGGACATGATCCTGGAGTTCTGGGATCAAGCCCTGCCTCAGGCTCTCTGCTGAGCAGGGAGCCTGCTTCTCCCTCTGCCCCCTACTCTTGCTCTCTATCTCAAATAAATAAGTAAAATCTTAAAATGAATAAATAAATAAAATAATAGGTTCTGCTGATACTACTGTGGTTTACTGCCTACATTAAAAAAATTTTTAATTATAGTTGACATACAATATTATATAATTTTCTCTGTCATTTATTTATTTCATAACTGGAAGTTTGTACCTCTTAATCCCCTTCACCTATTTCACCACCCCCCACCCCTGACAACTACCAGTTCTCTGTATTTATGAATCTGTTTCTGATTTTTGGAAGTTTTTCTTCCTCTTCTATATTCTGGAATATTTGGGAATATTGAAAAAGAATGAAATCTTGCCATTTGGAATGACATGGACCCTCTAAGTCTAGAGGGTATTATGCTAAGTGAAATAAGTCAGAGAAAAGCAAATACCATATAATTTCACTTCTATGTGGAATCTAAAACAAAACAAATGAACAAAAAACCAGAAACAGATTCATAAATACATGGTTGTCAGAGGTGGGGGGGGAATGGATAGGTGAATTAGGTGAAGGGGATTAAGAGGTACAAACTTCCAGTTATGAAATAAGAGACAGGGATGAAAAGTACAGCATTGGGAATATTGTCAATAATGTTATAATAACTTTGTATGGTGACAGATGGTAACTACACTTATGGTAAGCATTTTGTAATGTACATAATTACTGATTCACTATGTTGTATGTCTAAAATTATATAATATTGTATGCCAACTATGTTTCAATTAAAAATAAAAAAATGTAGGCAGTACACCACAGTAGTGTTAGCAGAACTTCTTACTTTGTTTCCAGTAGACATCACAGATATTTTCATATCACATAACAGTTACTGCAAATATCTTGAGAAGCTGTGCTTATCACTAGTTTGAAATTAGTTTATAAAAACACTATTAGATTTTGTTATTGAATGCATTAAAAAAGAAACAAATATTAAAGTATCAATTATTTTTGAATATTTTGATAAATAGATTTTAAAAGAACTGAATTTTTTTTTTTTTAGAGAATGCACAGTGGGGTGCGGGGTGGAGAGGCAGAGGGAGAGGGAAGAGAGAATTTTTTTTTTTTTAAAGATTTTATTTATTTATTTGACAGAGAGAAAGAGCAAAAACAGGGGAAGTGGCAGAGGGAAAGGGAGAAGCCGGCTCCCCGCTGAGCAGGGAGCCAGACCTACAGCTTGATCCCAGGACCCTGAGCCGATGCTTAACCAACTGAGCCACCCAGGCGCCCCTGGAAAGAGAGAATCTTAAGCAAGCTCCATGCCCAGCATGGAGCCCGACATAAGGCTTGATTTCACAACCCTGAGGGTCATGACCTAAGCCGAAATCAAGAGTCCAAAGTTAACCAACTGGGCCACCCAGATATCCCAGGAATTGAATTTTTTAAAAAAATATGAAATTCAAGAAAATTAAGACTTTCCCAAGGTTAAACAAATATAAATGATTATATTTAAATGTAACACTGACTCCAGAAAATATTAAAAGCACACAGATAGTGGCCAAATAGCCTTATTTTTCAGCAGACAACCTATTATTTCACAACCAACTTTACCAACTGCCTTTTACATATCTGGGCCGATCTGGTATGCTAACCCTATAACAAGCTCCTGGAGCAAATGAGATGAAATTAACACTGACATGCTTTACATGTCTGTAGTGAGATTACTTAATCAAATCAGCTCTAACTGGACTTCACTTCATACCATTTAATCCAGTGGTCCTCAAGTATGGTTGCATATTAGAATCACTGGGGAGCTTAAAAAGCACTGAAGCCTAGGACCTATTCCCTGAGATTCTGATCTAATTGGTCTGGGGGGCAAGCCTTGTCATGGGGATTTTTCCCCTTGTATTTTATAGATGAACAGAAAAATTGAAAGAATTTTACTGTGAATGTGAATACCGTCACCATCCAAATTCTACCATTAATTTTTTTATACCTGCTTATCACATACCAATTCATCTATCAATTTCCTCTATTGATCCACCAAACTATTTTTTTTTTTCTGTTTCATTTCAAAGTAAATGGCAGACATCATACACTTCCCAGAATGAGGTGTTTAAAAAATTCCTCAAATTGTAATGTGTAGCTAAGGCTGTGACCCATCTATTCAGACTTCAGCATTTCCGCTGGAGTTGGTTATCAGTGTCAAGCTTCCTGCTCTGTAGGTACTATAGGGATAAACCCCACAGGAAGCAAAACAGTATCCCATTCACTCAAGTCTATTGCCTTTGAGTCCCAATTTCCAGGGTTATTTCTTTTTAAGAATATTATAAAATTTCAGCAAAAAAAGAGAGCATAGGCTGTCTACATTCTCAGCGAATGACCATGCATAAAACAATTATAATACAACTTCAAATAGTCACAGAATGGGCTTTGGTTTCATAATTTTAACTTTCAGTATTATATTACAGATATGTGAATAGAAGTCATCTGGATTTTATTTAATAAGGCAACAAAGTTAGGGGGGTTCAAAAACTTTGGTCCAAAGTTACAGAATTTCTCAAAACCTGGCAATATTTAACTTGACAACTGTGATTAAAAAATTACACAACACAAATCAGAAAATAAAATCTCATACCTGGAGTTTTCCCTTTTCATAGGCCAGTTTATTTTTACTCTCAGTAATTTTTCCCAAGGCCTTTTCCACTTGCTGTTGGGCAAGCTGACAAAGCAAACACAGGTTATCAGTACCTAGGCATAGAATGGAATAACCATTTTCTGAACAAGTATTCATACCCTTATCATTTCTACAGTGACAAAACCAGGATTCATATTTATTTGCCTCTGCTTCCTCTTAGTTTTTCCCTAGAGTGACTAGTCTTTCTATACAACCTACCCCAAAATTATGCACATTCAATATAAAAATTTATATCCAATATTAAGCATCAGTAGGTTAACTATTATGGCCATCTGAGTATTTGTCCTATCAGAGCAGTATTTATTTCATACATTAATTATACATATTCATACACTGTTTCTCAAAGTTTCTTTTTTTTAAGAGAGACAGCAGCAGGACAGAGTGCAAGGGAGTGGGCAGAGGGAGAGGGAGAGAGAGAATCTTAAGTAGGCTCTGTGCAGAGCCCAACATGGGGCTTGATCTCAAGATCCTGAGATCATGACTTGAGCTGAAATCAAGTCGGACGCTTAACTGACTGAGCCATCCAGGTGCCCCATTAAAGTTTCACTTTTAATCACTATGTGTGGTTCCCACTAAGGCAAAGGAAAATATTTTTTAAAAGCATTCAGACCAAAAAAGTATTGGTTTCAAAATAACCTAAGAGAAATATAGACTGTTATCAATAAAGGGGCAGCTAATACAATATATTATCATAAAGTTAATCATCAATTTTCTGTCAGTGGAAATCCCCCTTTCCCACAATACTTTCTATTTTGGAAACTGAGGTAAAAACATTCCATGAACACAAAATTTGGGATTATGTTTTGACTAAGTCTTCAGCAAAAATAAATGACAAGGGTGGCCAATGATGTTACAAAAACAAAGCTATACCATAACCATAAAATCTTAGTTACTTAAAATTCAATTCTAAAGTCTATAAACTGAGGTGCCCAATGTACTGTAAAGTGCAGATTCAGTGTATAAAACACCAAGAGCTAGATTTAACCTAAAATATGCTAGCTGTAACAAACAGAGATAACTGCTTGCCTTTTTGGCATATGAAAAGGGTTTTTTTTGCAGTAACTTAGATGATCTGGGTCTCTTACAAAAGGTGTCCAGGAATTTTTTTTAAATAATGGCACTTTTACCTCAATAAAATTCCCTCTTTTAAGCAAAGGCATACAGAAATTCTATTAATCTGTTAAGTATACTTTAAAAATAATCTTCCCTTTTTTTGGTCACCTAAGAGAATGCTAATGCAGTGGTAAGTGTAAAGTGTCTAAGCAAAATCAAAATGTGATTAATATTTGACACAAGGTCACTTATTTACATTCACAACAAACAAAGAAATTGTTCTAGTTGCTAAAGGAAAGCAGATATTAAGGCAGTAATTTAAATTATTGTTTCCAGATTATTAT